AAAGACCTGACAAGAGATATTTTCGAATTAGTCATGTCCTTATGCTAATAAGTAACTTGCAAAAAAGATTTTTCTTCAACTCGTCTGCAAAAAAACTGCAGCCAAATCTATTTCGACTTCATATGAATTGAATGGTGAACAGTAAAATGCCATGTTTCGACAAGCAAGTTTTTTGCACAGTTTTAGACCCTTCCAGTACGCTGTGGTTTTCTCTGTCAAACCTTTGCCTAAAACAGAACACAAGTTGGTAGAGTTCGATGCGCTGATTTCGACGGCATAAAGCATTTTTCCCAATAGGCCTTAGTTGATGAGCCACGTCGATTTTTACGTTTTCAAGAGTCACTCCGACATACTTTTGGATTTCAACGATATTATAGTTTCGAGTTTTTGCCCTGAGCTGCGTCGCATTCGACTGTACATTCTCACATGTTAAACTAAAATAGAGCGTCTTTACTTTGCATATTTCAATCACTAATATTGTGAGTAGAAACACTTCGAGTGAAATATTCCAGTGCTCTATACTATAATATTAGTAATTGAAATAGACGCTAGTAAACGCTCTATTTTAGTTTACCATGTGAGAATGTACAGTCGAATGCGACGCATCCCAGGGCAAAAACTCGAAACTATAATATCGTTGAAATCCAAAAGTATGTCGGAGTGACCGTTGAAAACGTAAAAATCGACGTGGCTCATCAACTAAGGCCTATTAAGAAAAATGCTTTATGCCATTGTAATTAGCGCATTGAGCTTTGAAAACTTGTGTATATAGCATTCGAAAATCAGTGTGGTGCTTGGGCACCTTCCCTGATTAGTCTTTCACGGCTCGTCATTATCTAACAATTTACTTAACGTGACTAACACTTTCTTTTGATCAACAGAAGTAAATAAATCACTAAAATCTAAACCAGGTAGTTTACTACTTAAACAGGACCACTGTAGTAAAAGTTATTTTTCGAAGGCATATTACACAATGAAGTTCTGAAAGCTTTTTTGCTGAACCAGCGTTCAAAACTAACTCTAAATCCTAACCTAGAGTTTTCAGTAAAGTTGACTTTTCTTAGCGAGGAAAAGAAATTTAAAAAAAACTCTCTATTAGTTTGTTGCTCGTTTCAAGGCGGTTCTAATGGTGTATGAATCAAGGGTATAGGTCTTGACCCACAAAACTTCCTGTGCGATCAAAATGAGTGACTGGTTCTCGGCCTCTGAAGGTTTGGACGTCACTGTCGGATTTTTTTTTTCGCATACAGAACAGTGACTTTAGCACTGCAACGTCGTCAGCACCGCAGTTATATGTAATTTTTTCTGCAACATTGCTACCGTTGCTGGTGAGTAACATAATTCTAACTGCAAACACCCGTCTGAAACATATTATGGGAACCGCTGCTCAGTTTTTTTATAATTCATGCAGGAATATGATAACACGATGCAAACATATCGAGATTAAATATGAGAGAAGAAAAGACTACAATAATCAGAGCAATGATATTCGACAAAGAAGACAAAAAGTAACAGCGGAACGTTTGATTGTGAATGTGCGTCAGTCTTTGTTCCATATTCACTGCAAAGAAAACAAAAATAGTTATATGGTTTAGTACCATAAAGGATTCAAAAAGCATCATCTAGTAGAAGAATGTACAAATCCTACTGAATCTCCTAACATACCTTGCCTAGCGACAAATACCACCATTACAAGAATAACGACTACAACATTGACCACTACCGGTACAAGCATGGCCAAAATCGAGACAGCAAACATTACTTGGATAATCACAATAACCACTACAGCATGGATCGCCACCACAAGTTAGACCAGTAGCAAGACACTTTCTAACACAAGTGCCCTTACAATAATAACCAGTACAACATTGGCTGTCACTAGTACAAGCTTGAGCAAGACTATTGCAACAGATACCACTAGGATAATCACAATAACCACTGCAACATTTTGTTGTACCACCAGTAAAACAACCTTGAACACCGGCAGGAAGACAAGTATCGCGCTTGCGTTTGTTTTTGAGTAAATGATCGCGAATATCATTGCCATTCCTACCTTCCATGCCGTTTATTATCAAAAGAAACAAGAGGACTTGGCCGATCTTCTGCATTGCTGTTTACAGCTCTGCGACGTTGGAGAAAGCTGAATGTAATAAAGTATGTTTGCTTTTTCGATCGTTGAATGAAATGAGTCAAACTTGTTTCAAGTGAAAGCAGAGAAAAAAGTTTCGATTTTTTTCCCTGAGAGAGATTGGCTTTTTTTACTTCATTCGATTGCGAAGCAACATGCGTCATTATTTACTGACGTGAAGTTTTCTTTCCAAAGAATGGAAGATCGTCCAAAATAATGATGTTGCAAGTTATGAATACGAAAGCAAAACTAATGTGAACCATAAAGGAACAGGAAGACTCGTTTTGTTCTTTGTCTTAATTTCTCACCTTCACTAACAAGGGTAGATAATTAACTAACAAGGGTGTGCAAAGTGCACTTTTCTGGTACCGGACCCGGGGGGCTGGTGAATCATCAAAAATCTCTTCCGCTACGCGAAAGTAGGGTATTTTGCAGCCTGACACAAGAGAATTTCACTTATACTGTATTTTGCTGTTTTCGATAAGAAAGAATTGAAATCCAGGTTTTCTGAAGGATTTTATCCGAAGTCTCTCGGTATCTGAACCTTTTTGACGATAAAACGGCAATTAAATAAAAAACGTGCAATGTATCGTATGAACTAAAACGATACTTGGTGATTAGTTTGTACACAGATGCTTAGGTTCGATTTAGCTTACGCTCTGCAACCTTTTACTACTGCTAGATCAAACAACAAGGTTTCAAAGTGCTTCATCAACAAGAAAGACATCTGAATGATATTGATAGTATTGTTTCTTTGCAAAAGCTTTTCCATTAAACAGTTAAATTCTATCATGGAGTATACAAAATGACTTCGTGATGCTCGACAACTCTATCGATATAAGATGAATGATGTCAGTATGTTTACAGGCAGATTTTTCTCAATCTCATTTACATATTTTCATTCTCATACGAAACAGGAGAACTACGAAGATCACATTGCAAAAATGATCAGTGATCCGGCAACAGCACTTATACTTCAAAAAATGGAAGACAAGGAAGCATCTGCTGAAGACTTTCGATAACTAGGTCACTCGGGCGATTGGTGGAAAGCAACTGTGGAGTGTACACAGGATCCAGATGCTGCTGAAGGGTGTGTTCCCAGGTCGAAAAACCCCTGCCGTATAAGTTAACATACGACAAAAAACACGCCAGTCGGACACGATTGACGTATACGTCAAGCGTATATGGTATAGTACATAGGTTTGACGACAATCGTATACGTCAGATGTGTGCGACTGTCGTTTACGGTGAAGTACTTTAATTCCAGTCTGTCATATACGACAGACGGTCCAGTCTGACGTGACGCTGGCGTATACGACAGTCGTATACTGTAGTATAGTTGTCTGGAGTAAGTCCGCATAAGATTTTTGTGAAGTGACATTTTAAGTTTGTTTGAATCTTTTTTCTTTTATACTATTAAGTACAAACTGCTCTCCTTGATACTAGACATTTTGAAAAACGTTTTGATAAATCAAAGCGACACCTAACGGCTGTTGCTGTTATTTATGAGTCATTCATGCATTTTGTGGTCTGTCTGCATCTCCATCTCTTCATTTTTTCGATGAGAAGTTCTAGTTTCGCGTGAGTATACTCCTTCTTCTTTCTAGACTTCACGTCTTCGTAGCTCCAAAACGTACAAATAGTGCTCTTTTGCATTTTCTTTCTTTTTCCTCTCCATATCAACTTTGATGAAGAAGATACATGTGAATTGCAAGCACGTGAATCGGAGATCAATATTGTGTGGAAGGACTACAGAAATAGGTGTGGCATAAGATTTCGACTGAATCGAATCGACCCGCTTCAGGATTTGAAAATGCTGTCCTGAATCGAACTGAATCAGGATTTCTTGATTCGTTTCGGGCTCTATTACATATATGGGAAATAAATAGCCATAGATAATGTTTGATCAATAGCTCTATGAAGACATCAATTCAAAAAACTGTGCTATATAGATCATTATAAAGACCGTTTACCCACCGAAAAAAATAATCAAAATTCAAAAAAAAACTTGTAGCTTGTGGATTTTGCCCGCCATGTCTATCTTGCGGCATTCTGTAATCTTTTCTCATCAATGTCTGTGCAGGGTGAACTTGTCTGTGGAGGAACTTGTCTGTATATTTTATTTTTGGCAAGTTAAGCACCTCTGCATCTTTTCTTGTAAAGTCATACAAGCTTTTCTCGTGTCGAATAAACTTCCGGAAATGTATACCTTAATATTTTTAACTATAACTTATCCATGTTTTACGGAAGTTTTTAAATTATATACCATTCAACAGAGTATTCAAAGGGATTACTCTCATGTCGTCCCATACTTCCGTTTATTTTCTAGCATTCTAGTCATTTTATAACTAACTATTCATTTTTTTTCTGTCAACTGTATACTAATCAATATTAGTATAATTCATTAAGGTAATGTAAGAAATTGATAGATGGCTTTATAAGTTACATTTATTATTTTATTTACGAGTTACAATGAAACAGGTAATTTTAAAGTATTAACACATCTGCCGCATTTAATCGCAAGTTC